ACGTTCCAATACTTCGTGACTTTTCGTATACCTTCCTTTTTTGCGATACCTTAAATGATTACTCGCCTGGAAACACTATGAAGTCTACTATCTCTGTTGCGACCGATTAGCGACGTTCTGTGATGGATCAATGCGACGAGGAGACGAATTCAATTTTATTCATTGACATCCTGATAGCTATATCCGTCCCCTCTGTATAATCGCTTTTCGTGGACCACCTTATAATCGGACCGTCGTCATCACCATATCGTGGGGTTAGGAAGCAGGGAATGGAGTAAATTAACTTTCCCTCTAACTTAGCTTCTACCCCTGCAAACCTATTCGGTAAATCTTTTAAAAGGCCGAAGACGGTACTGGATCCGTGGCCTCTACCTGCATCAGACCCGCAAAAGGGAACTTTTTCTGTTCATGGTCGCACCGAGTTGTTATGGTGCCACTTGCTACACCTTTCCCTTCGAGTGTACGTACGTACATGTATGTCCCTATTGCCAACTGATCTGGAGCATGTGCCATCACTGTCACATACTTCATGATAACTCGAGCTCTTTGCACCATATTTGGTCGTAGAGTAGCGTGTGACTCTTCTCGGTGAGCAACGACAGCGCACGTGCTTTCTGGGTCACGGTACAAGACGACGACGGACTCGCTATTTCCGCGAGACGACGCGCTATTTTCAGTCGGTCTTCGGATACGTGGGCTTCGGAACGAGTCCTTCTTTCTCTGCTCGCCGGTATCCCCATTGACGACTGGAAATAAACTCTCTCTCTCTCTCTCTCTCTCTCTCTCTCTCTCTCTCTCTCTCTCTCTCTCTCATGTCTCTTGCCCCCTCCGCCATTTCTCCCTTTCTCGGACGCGACACTAACAATGGAAACGGATTTTCATTCAGCCACTGAATTCGCTGTATCTTAACAGAGACTGGATCGCGAGAGACTGCTCTCTACAATTAAACGATGTCAAAGTTCCGGATACGAATTGCGGTTCCTTCGAGTGTTTTTTAATTGACTTCTATCGGCGATCGTACCGAGGAATAATTCCATTGTTGTGCGGCAACAATAACAACCTGCGGGCGACTTCAATTCTCATTTTTGTCGTCGTCGATTCGCCGAGACCCGCAGAATACCGTTATTGTCCCCGAAATACGCGGTAGACATTAACGAGGAGGCTTGAATTAATCCTTTCAGAACGAAACGTTGTGTACGGGTGTTAATGAAAGTTGGAGAATATTTCTGTAAATCTGCATTCGACTCTGCGCTCTGTCACAGATACTCGGATATACGTGTATGTATACGTTTTTAGAACGTGCTTAAAATGGGAGCTTTTGTACGCCGGATATATGTGGGTATTATCCATTTCATTGTTGTGCGGTAGATAATGCTATCTAACCTGGAAACGGTGTTTCCCTGTGCTCTTAGGGTGACTTTGTAACGTTGAAATGAAATCTCGTGAAATTGACGCGGTAATCGAGATGTTAATTGCGATAATTGGAAATCGAGTTACCTTAGAAAAATAATGAAGATGCGTTATTGAGAAACGAGTGCCCGCGTTTGCCAGAGCCTATTCGATTTCCATTACAACGATACTCCCGATACACCCTCGTTACTTCGCAATTATGTGTTTCCCCGATCGGTCGGGCAGTCGGAGTACAAAAGAAATTCTTTTCGTCCTGAGAGGAAACACGTGGCTCGTTGATGCATCGAGCATCGAGCATCGAGCAACGTAACGGCCTGGCGTATCTATTTTTGCGATACGTCAGGCTATTCTCAGTTACGCTCCGGGTGCATCGACTGTCATCGGTGCTCTAGGAATAAACCATCCATCACGGCGAACCAATCCGACGCGTAAGTTGGATCCGCGCCTCGATATTTTCTTCTGCCCACTGCCGAACCAAGTCCGCCGCAGTTTCGCGAACACGTCATAAACAGACTTTAATAAATTGTTACCCGTTGTCCCGCCTCCGGCGACGTAATTAAACGACTAAATTGAAATATCGATCTTTCGCTGTGACGTCAAGCTTTTCCACGCACCGCTGATACAAGAACCTCCAATCCGCAATTGCACCAATAGTTCCTATTGCCGAGAGACCGTTTCGACTTATTGACATTGGGGTAGGTAGGTTCGAATCTCTCTGGGAATGTCGTACAGCGGATTGAAAATCTTCCTTTACAGACTTCGGACATACTTCTTTGTCGTGTCGATAAACATGTAACAGATTGTTTCCTGAACAATTATTATATTATGTTATATTACATTCACGAATAACTCCGTTTTTCGGGATGCCTTCGAAGAAAAGTACACATTGTCTTTTTAAACGAAACCGTTCAGGAAACGACACAATCGATACAACGTTATATGTATTTTTAATTGTTCTCTGTTTAATATTCATGCAAATGGACGTCTTTCGTTGAGTCCCGAGGCAATTTCCATAGTTTAGTCGGCCTTGGAAGTGAACGCGCGCGGCCACGATTGTTTCTAACGCGAAATACCGATTTCGATACTAGAGAGAGAAAGAGAGAGAGAGAGAGAGAGAGAGAGAGAGAGAGAGAGAGAGTACCTTTGATGTGAAATTCGCGGCGGGAGTGAAAGGTATTCGAGCCGTATCCGGTATCGAGCAGCCGCCGCGAACGCTAACTAACAAAGATCTTTCAACTCGGAAAATTCGTCTAGCCGAGCGTTCTCACTTTTGTTCGCCTCGACACGGAGTCTACGGCGATTCACCGGCCAAGAATCGTTACGTTCCCGGGATTAATCTGTCCTTTTATCTCTCGCCGGAATCGCTGGCGACCTTCCGTAGGAAAGCGAGGAACATTTGTCTGTGGCGCAACGGTTGCCACTGTCGCGTGATAAGAAGCCGGCTACCTTCGAAAACGAAAACGCTTACGGCCGATCACTGATTATATTTATGACGTAACTCTGCCTGTCCGAGGTCATCTCGACTGATACCGATATCCTTCTTCCAAATTGGGACGCGGAATTTTCTTAGAGAAAAATCAATGAGATACCAGGTGTGACCATGTTATACGATCTGTAACAGTACATTAGTATAACGATAGGTCGTTGTATGAATGCAAATGAACAAGAGATCTGTAAGTAGCGGGTTCAAATATTATCTTTCGTGTATGAGGTTGTAATATTTATCTATTATAATATTCTTAATCCACGCTTTGTCTTGTTTAACTGAAATTGTTTGGGACTGCATATATTAAATAATATTGTATATTTTTACACTAACTTTTTCGGACATGATAGTATGTACGTTTAAAGCAACATTTTTCTAGCCTATTTCTCGTGTAACGTTAAAGCAGTCGTACGATATTTCGACTTTAATGGTTCAATGCAAAAGTAGATCGACCTGATACAGTTTCTTCTGTATGCGTTCCGAGTACTACGCTTTAAGATGCTATTCACTGGAGCAATGTCCAGAAATGAATTTTTGGCGCTGAACCGAGTGGAGATGCTCTTTGGCGGCACGTCTCCCTTCCATTTTTCATTTTCTTTCTCCTTTTTCTTTCTCGCGTCTTGCTACTTTGCCCGTGGAACACCTCGGCACCGCCTCTCCATGATTCTTATTCTGCTCAGACGAGATCCGGCGAAAGTAACGCCCAATGTTTCCCTCGCGAAGCATTTGGTGGTCTTGGCCGATTGCAAAATCTTCTATTATCATCAAAACTCAGGACCGACCGTCGAGTATACGTAAACGCGTTTAAACGATGTTTCTCTAATACACGGAACGAAGTAATTATGAGTTGCGATCGTTAGCGAACTGCAGAGCAACGTGACCAACGCATAATTCCAATTTTTCTAGTAAAATTACACGGTACAGTTTCCCCGACGAAGCAGACGCGCGCACACACACACGCACACAACACATATAAACCTTTACCTTCTGCTTTCTAATCAACTATCGGAATCTGCTATCAGTCCTACCGTAGAAGCGGTTCCGAGTTTCGAAGCAATCTGACCAGCGGCGAAAACTTTCGACTCCTAACCTCTGAAAATTCCTTTATCCGATAAGAGGATTTCCGATCGGAAGCAATGAAATTTGCAGTCAGCAGAGATCGAGAAACTTGCTGCGAAGGTTCGTATTGTTCAAGGATTAAGGCGTAATCCAAAGACACCGAGGCTAGAAATTAAACCTGAATCGTCTAGCGGGAAAGTATGAGTCGCGTTCAAACAGAAGATCGGCCAACATCGATACCTTGTCTCGATGCGTTTCGGAAACTGCAACTGTGTCTGAACGATAGAAAACCATGACAGCAGCTGAGACGACACGGGTTCACCTGTCGGCGACGAGCCTGATGCTCGTTATTTCAATTGCTCATGGGCGAGCGTTATTTAAGATTCGCATATTCGCTTGGCGTCCTGCCTATCGATCGGCAGTTGCCCCTCCTGAGCATTCGGTCGAAATGGATCCGCAGCTTTCTTCGTCGACGCGAGCCACGCAATTCTCCCGATGGTGTACGTACCTAGCAAAAGTTAACGATCGATTCGCCGTTTTTGTCCGTTTCACCGTAACAGAATCCCTAGCCCGACCGATTCATCCTTGGAAAGTCTCGTTGTCTCCCCCGCTGCCATTTGTTCTCTCTCTCGGAAATCCAATCGCAGTAGAGTCTGTTAGCTCCGCTAGCGATTTTCCACTCCACAGTAGCCGATTAATTAACAAACAGATATCCATCGTACGTACGCTAGTACCTTCCTGTTCACCAACGATCTAGCGATCGAATAGCCCAACCCGGGTTTTGTTCTTTTTCACTGTTGCTACTTAACCGATCTATCGAGCCGTCGCAGTTCCACTAGGCTGTCGACCTAGTGGCTTCTACCAGTCTAGTAGCTCATTAAGAGAGTAGCTCGGTATAGGGCCTGTTAGTACAGAGGTAGCGTAACCTAGTTTTTCGTTTCTAGATCCTTAAATACGGTGTACAGTGTTGTCGTCGTTGTATGTGTACATATCGGAACGCTAAACCCGGGGACAGGTTAACGACGCGACTGCCTTTCTTTTTCAGATCGCTGCCGAAACTCAGCAGCCAGGACGAGGATGGGCCGAACCCCCACACCCAATATGCAGGCGTCACGCACTTCGAGCCCATACCGCACGATCATGACTTTTGCGAACGGGTCGTCATCAACGTGAGTATTATCTATCGTTACCATTTATTTAGCAGAATATTACTATTTGCAAGGGGCATCGCTTGAGTGAATCAGAAGAAATTATAATATTTATTATATTATTAAACCCCCAACTTTAGGTAGATATTTGAGCATATAATCCAATGCGATGATAGCCTTTAAATAAAATTCGGTATAGCGAAACAAGGGAGGGAATGGAACGGATAAATGAACAACGCAAAATAGACGATAAAGGGTTTCCATATTCAATGCTTTTTTGAGGTCGTTTCGCGACAGGTAAACCCGTGACACTTACGTTGGATCATGTCTTTGTGCAAAATACACGGGTATACAGTAATCGGGTCCCAAGATGAATTCATACATTTTCCATCTCTAGAATCGCAAAACGGGAGAGTGTGCCGTTTGTCAAAGAACGCTTCAACGAGGATTTTGCAACAAAAAGGGCCGTACGAAAGCATCAGAAGTTGTAACACGGAACAGAGGGCAAGAAGCTGATTCGTGTGATCGGTTTATCGACTTACCGGGAGTTATGGTGAAATCGCTTGAGAGCAAAGCTCGATTTAACTGAACCGGGGGATACGCGTGGATCGATCGGAACGCAAACTTTCAGACAAAATTACGGATCAGCGGACTAGGCTTGTTTAGCGTCAGTCATCAATATCCATCTAATGATTCGTTTAAGAACAGAGTGCGATCAGTATAAAGGCAGTAACCATCTCTCTACGAAAACAAGGTATTCGGAGAGTCAACAATTCTCTTTTCAATTGCAATATTCTTCAATTTTCTGTTGATCCGACTCTATTGATCTCGTCTTGTAATTTCCTAATCGGAATATGTGTACTATGTTTCTTCTGTGACGCGTGGTCTCCTATCTTGCTCTGAAGTTTAATTGTTCATTTTACGATTGTTTACCGCTAGTCAGATTGGCTAACAACAGTTACTAGATACTCCATTGTTAAAGAAAGTTTATAATCCACTTCCAAATAAAAGTTTATACTTTCTATTGACGGGGGTTTTATTCTGATCAGAAATGGTAGAAAAAATTGATGAAGTTTTCATTAGGTTTCTTAGTAAGTTCTATTTTCATAAATAAGTTCTCAAGAAACACAACCAAGAAAGAAAAATATCTTTCATTAGACAATAGAACTGAAATACATAATATGACGCCTATGCGATGATTCGGTCGAAGCGGTTTACTAGGAATCGTACCCGAGCGCAGTGTCTGTCGCGCGAAAGGATGTTAATGGCGGATAACGATCGAATTAATCTGAATTTCACTCCGCTTTTTTCATTGGTGTATTTCAAAGGGGGCGGTTGATGGTGCGGACGTTTTATATCTCTTCCACTCGGCGTTCCATCGGAAAGCCGGTAGATAATTGGAGTCGAAATTCAACTGCGCGCTGGAATCCCGTCGAAAGAAAAAAAAAAGATCCACCGAACCGTATTTGATCGCAATTGTCCGGAATAATGAAGCGTATTTGTCGTCTGTCTCGACGCGTCGAAGAAATAGAGTAATAACGGCGAAACGAGAAGAGGAGGGACCGTGCTCGATCGCGTACGCCGCGACGCGTCTCGTCTCGATTCGTCGCGCGATGAGTACCTATCTAGATACATACGTGTTTCCTCCGCTTTCCTTCGCGAACAGCGATCCGCATTCGGATCGATTTCCACCGGGTCTCCGTAAGCGAATGCATACTTTCGGGGTCCCATACTGTCCATCCATTCGTATTTCTTTCTTTTCGACGAAGCAAGATTATCTCAAGACACGAAATGACCTACAGACCGTGTTCTGGCAACCGTCCAAGTTCGTCTTGGAATCAGGGGCAATATAGTACCAAGGTCGTATTGTGTGAACGGAATTATCTGTCCTCGCCGATGACACGACTGCATTGCGCCAATTACAGTGACCGTTCGATTGCTCCGTGAAAAATCGGCGGTACCGATCGCGTGACCGATCGATTCTCCGTGTTTCCCGCGCATCGCTTTTCCGATCGTTCTAATCGAAAGAATTCGAGAACAATTTTAAAGTATACAGAAAATTTCCTCCCGAGACTGCCATAAATTTGAATCAAGTTCGCAAGTAGGGCTCGAGGGAGACGCATCGTGCCGGCGAACGATCGAAAGACGATTTCTGCAACAAATCTTGGTCATTCGCGGACGTTCGATATCGATCGGTGGCAGGTCGCACGCGCGTTTGTCCGCGCCGTCGCGAGTGCAATCCAATTTCTGTTCTGGACGGTCCTTCGACATCGTTGCCACGAAATTGTGCGCGCACGGCGTACACCAAGCGGTGTATAACTGAAACCTCAACTACCCTAAGACCTGAACGAAATGGAGTTGTATATTTCATTCGCGACAACGATTAGAATCCACCTCTATTGAGACTGTTCTCGTAATACCCGGAGATACATATGTACATGTCGAACACACCAAAAATTAGGCACTTGACGAACGTCAGGCGTGTCTTCGTTTCTGTTGTGGATCGAATCCCGTGTTATTCCTGATATCGAGCGATTCCTTGTTCATTAAATGTCCCAGGTTTAATTCTTTAATTCCCCGAATAACGCAATATCTGATTGACGAAGGTATTCCCGTGGACGCGTCGTCGATAAGCTCGAACCGTGCCGTGCCGTGCCGTGCCGTGCCGTGCCGTGCCGCGCCGTGACAGTTATAACCGATACTTCTTCTTTTTCTTCTTAATCGTCCTAATGGCCGGCCGCAATTACCCTAGTTTCGTTTATTCGTTTTCCGCTGTACCGCGGAGGATGGAAAGAAAGTAGTTTCTTTCGAGCCAAAACAAATGAACGGCGGCGACCGTGCTCCGATTTATTTCTGATTATCAACATTATGATCAGGTGTAACGACTAATAACGTTGCTCGTTAAATCGCGATGACCGCTGCCGTTAAGGGGGTGCGCTCGTGTCGTATACGACCATGCAAGATTCGTGGATGAAGAGTGGCGATCATGGTGTACTTACTTCTAGGATTACAGACAAATTTCTCATCGCGCCATCGAAATCCTGTTACTCTGCGGCATACTTTCCACTTTCAATGTGTAAGTCGAAATTGTCGAATAAGATTTTATCGTATGAAGCTTAGCTCCCAACCGGATTCAGTTCATATCTTCTGATCGAGGGTACCTACCTCGAAAGGTACATCTTCGGACTCGATAACGTACCAGCAATTACAGGATACGCTGTGTATGTATAGTATGTGGTGGCGCTAAGGGTGTCTCAAATTAGCTCCTCTAACAGCAGTCGGTCTTTAGGTAGTGACTGCACTTTACACTTTCTCCTTATACCTTTTCCAATACTAGTATAGGTCACTTATCGTTTTCCTTTCACCGCGTATCACCACGGTATCTACCCACTGCATTACCCTCCCGTAGGAAAAGGATACTCAGGAACCAATTTCAAGCTTCGAAACGGGATCTCTACTTCCGCCGCAGCAGCATAGGAACCCCACTCTCTCAGTAACATTTCACTGTCGTAAACGCTTCACGCATAAGGATCCGTAATATCTGCGTGAACTGGTCGTGCGTCAGAATTTAAACCATGATCGAAGCGTGTACCGAAGTTTCACAAAACGTATCGCGATATTTTTCGTAATCGCATTAAGAAATTTATTCCAAGCACGAGCAAGATTGCTTGATACATAAATAGGTATATTAAAAGTGCATATCCTACACTTGGGGATGGGTGACTCGTTTTTGACGTGCCTAGAAGAGGAAAGAAATTCGTAGTATGTGTAGTAAGGGATTTAAAGGGGGCGGGACGAATTAATCCGGTGTCCCAATTAGCAGGGCATCGACTGGCAAAAGGGGATGAGGGATAAGGACATGTCGCGGTGTACCAACATTTATCGATTATCGATTTCGATCCCGACAGGTGAGCGGGTTACGGTTTGAGACGCAGCTGCGTACGCTGAACCAATTTCCGGACACGCTCCTTGGCGATCCATCGCGACGGCTCCGATACTTCGATCCGCTTCGCAACGAGTACTTCTTCGACCGGAACCGACCATCCTTCGACGCGATACTTTACTACTACCAAAGCGGCGGCAGGCTGCGTCGTCCGGTCAACGTTCCCCTCGATGTCTTCTCCGAGGAGATCAAGTTCTATGAGCTGGGCGAGCTGGCCACCAACAAATTCAGGTACGGAACTTACCAGTTTGCGGATTGACAATTGAAAGCCAGAATGTCGAACTATTGCTTAACCCGAGTCAAAGATTTAAATATACCTACTTTGTTTCTTTACGGTAAACAGACTTTTACAGAGTCCTTGTACCAAATATACATATGCATGTATGTAATTTAGTTACATATAGCGAGACAATTAGTAAAATAGCAAAAAAATGTAATGAAGATTTTACGACGCGAACAACATTACAATACGTGTAGTTCGAGAACCCTGTTTGTTGTATCATTGGAAGCGAATTGGAAGGTTGGAGACCCCTGGAAAATCGAAGCTTCGGGCTGAACTCCGATGGGCTCATTGTTCAGGGATGTTCAATCTTTCGCTTCAGGGTAGACGGAGATCCCGTTTCATGATTTTCGTTACCGTTCAAAAATAAAAGAGGGGAAACGGGGTTGAAACTTTCCATTTCTCCCTCTCTCATCTATTTCTTTCCCTCCGCATCGATGGGATTCAGAAGCTATTTCACGTTTCAACCAAAGAATTTCCCACGTTTAAAAAATTCTTTACATGTCGAATGCATTAAAAACCTGACAGGCAGTTTTTTTATTTTACGACACAAGACGTGTTTGCAAAACGATTTAGAAATTTGAAGTAAAATTTTCTGGTACAAGACTTGGCCGTTATACGCGTTGTTGTCTGACTCATCGACTATTTCTACTACTACTTCTGCAACCAGTGAAAATAATCGTCTACGACAGACAGCAAATGAAACGACGACGACAGGGACGTTACGATGCCTCGAGATTACATAGCCGGTCACATATGGACGTTACACGTTCAAATACAATGCATAAAAATAAAGATTAAGCATAAGGATTGTTCTACCTTATGCTTGACGGATGAAAATCCTTAAAAGAGAAAACACAGTTTTTTCTGCAACTTACACGATGGAAATAAGTATGATTTTATATTTATCAAGATTCGCAGTCGAATAGATATCGTTTTCATTTGTTTGTCTTGTTGCGGAAGAATGTAAGAATATTGAGAAGGAGAGCAGAGTGAAAAGCTTCTCTGCTGTTTTCCTGTACGACATCGAGTAGTTGAAGTGGCACTTGCCTTGGAATACTCTGCTCTGTCTCGCGAGACGCGAATCCTGCAGCGGTTTTTGAAATGCAAATGGTTGCGCAGGGAGGACGAAGGGTTCATCAAGGAGGAGGAGAAGCCGCTGCCGACGCACGAGTTCCAGAGGAAGGTCTGGCTATTGTTCGAGTACCCGGAGAGCTCGCAGGGCGCCCGGGTGGTCGCCATAATATCCGTGATCGTGATCCTCCTGTCGATCGTGATATTCTGCCTGGAGACCCTGCCCGAGTTCAAGCACTACAAGGTCTTCAACACGACGACGAACGGCACGAAGATCGAGGAGGACGAAGTGCCGGACATCACGGACCCGTTCTTCCTAATAGAGACTATTTGTATCATCTGGTTCACGTTCGAGTTATCGGTGCGCTTCCTCGCCTGTCCAAATAAACTGAACTTCTTCCGTGACGTAATGAACTTCATCGACATCATCGCGATCATTCCTTACTTCATCACGCTCGGCACCGTGATGGCCGAGGAGGAGGAGACGATTGATCTGCCGAAGGCGCCGGTAAGCCCGCAGGACAAGAGCACGAACCAGGCCATGTCCCTGGCGATACTCAGGGTCATCAGGCTCGTCAGGGTGTTCCGGATATTCAAGCTGTCCAGGCACAGTAAAGGCCTTCAGATCCTCGGCCGTACGCTCAAGGCCTCCATGAGGGAGCTCGGCTTGCTCATCTTTTTCCTCTTTATCGGTGAGTCTTCCTTCGTTGTTACGTCTTTTTCCTTACGACACTATTGCCTGTTTTCCTAATTTATTTCCTATCTACGTTGAATTCGTCGGAGCTACTGTGTAGTATATCGAGATAGTTTTCATTTACATAGGCGAGAATGATTAATCGCCGAGAGCTCCAAACAACGATGATAACAAAAATCTGGTCGATAACCGAGCAAAGATAACTCGACTAGACATCAACGAGTCCTCGTCGTCTGGAGTTCTTTAAATGGCGATCACCTAGAGTACCGAGCTTAACGAGAAAGAATCCGACAATGGATGTGGCTCGATTGATCCGGGCAGTCAGCCAGCAAATGAACGATCAGGATTCGAATCGTCTCCGAGCAATCCAATCGACAGATTCTTTTTCCGTCCGTGATTCAACGAACGGGATTAAATCGTAATGTAACGTCGTTTAAATGCACGATTATCGACTGCCGGAAAGTTTATTCGATTTCGCGAACGTATTTATGGTCGTATGAAGTTTAGGCCAGTTCCGGGAACGACAAACGCGTATCTCCCGATGAACTTTAAGATCCCGGTGACAGGGATTCAAAGGACGAACGAGGAAGTCGGGTAATTTAATTGCCCGAATAATCTTCGATGCCACGAAAATAATGCGGAATCTTTATGATATTGCGGTAGATCGCGAAATCATTGGCTGCCGTTGTTCTCGAAGTGAGAACATGATAATGGCGTCTCCCATTCGCCAAAGAGATTTAGTTTCTTCCCGAACATTTTGGCCGAAGAACCATGAGTCTCTGACAGATTTATGTATAACCTCGTTCGTCTATCGATTCTTAATTTAGGTCCCTGCAAAGTTTCCGGCGATGTCCTTGCCAGCCTTTTCTTTTTAATGCCGCATTCGAGCCCGAGACGAAACATGGCTTTTAATAACTTTGCTGTTAACGTGTTGGTTACGATGCCGACATTTACGACTCGTTTCTTAATTTTTAGACATCGCATTCCTCGATCATATACTCTCTTCTCCGGTAGCTCCTGTTGTTTCTCGATAAGGTAGGAAAATCGTTTTTGATTCGTTACTTTTGTAAACGTTTCGATCTATTGAAAAATATATCGAAGCGCAAAATGCTCTTGTTTTCGTCGAAATCAACATTTCGCCGCCGTACTCTTTGCCGTGTCACCGGGGTATCTGTACGACGCGATGACGGGATCAACATGCCCAAAAATCGGCAAGCACATCGTTGGTTAAGCGAGAGGTGTGTATGAGATAAATGCGGAAAAGTATCCTGGCAAAATGAGAGCAGGAGAAAATCCTGAAATTGTGAGAGATTCCCTGCGCTCGCTGAAGAGCCCTCGGCGGAGAGACCTAGGTAACCAAAAACCGGTATGGGCTCTTGTACGGGCAAGATGGTTGGCAACCGTTTCCGGAGGAATGGACCGAGTCCAATCATCGTAATGGAACGCGGATTCTTTGAAACCGTCGATATTGCACGATCGACAAGACCCCTGAGCAGAAGCGGAAACGGAGATCGACGTCGTCGGTGGAGGTGTCGCGCGAAGGAACGATCGATAGATCGAACGATCCCTTGGTCGCGTTGCAGGAAGCAGCCACGGGAGGAGTGGACCGTGGGGCGAGGAGTAGAGAGAGACAAGGAGAGCTAAGGCTCGCTAAAATGGCGTGTCTTGAAGCGTGTGTTCCTCTTGTGTTCGTTCCAGGTGTGGTGCTGTTCTCGTCGGCGGTTTACTTCGCGGAGGCGGGCACGCAGGACAGCTTCTTCAAATCGATACCGGACGCGTTCTGGTGGGCGGTGGTCACGATGACGACCGTGGGCTACGGGGACATGAGGTACAAAGCCACCGGGGGCGTTAAACCCACTGAACCGGTGTTTTCTTCCTTGCATTGCAGGTGTGGTGCTATTCTCATCGGCGGTATACTTCGCGGAGGCCGGCTCCGAGAATTCGTTCTTCAAGTCCATTCCGGACGCGTTCTGGTGGGCCGTTGTCACGATGACGACCGTGGGCTATGGTGACATGACGTATGATGTACTCACTTTCACTTAAGACTCTAGTTAATGCCCGCCAAACAAAAACGAACACACACTATACTTTTATACTCTCCTCCTCAGATACTCTATTAACTTACCGGATACTCACTCGATTTATTGTACTCTGATCCCAACAGTTCGTTTCTTCTACGTCCTTCCTGATCCCCAGGAAGCACGATATCCCTGTTCTCCCCTCGATCCTCCCACCCCCCCCCACCCATCAACACCTCGATTGCCCGTTTGATCGCTTTTTAGTTTTTGGAGTTTCGTTTTTGATGACTTGAAACTTACAATTAGTGCTTGATAGAGTTGAGCACGCTAATTTTCAATCTTCCCGTACTCTTCGCAGACTCTTGGAATGTTTCGTTTTTCTACTTCTAGTTCTACTTCACCTTCGATCGAGTATCCACTTCTCTTCACCTTTTTCTATATTGCATCTTTAGAGTGCTGCTCGCAATCCTCCTCCAACACGCTTCGACTCATCGTTCGGAAACCTCGACACCTCGTTATTTAACTTTTCTTTAATCGTCCCGGGGTACCTCGTTCCTCTACCGTCCGCCTTACCGGTTTCTTTCCTTTCCTCCGTATTCTCGTTGAATCAGCCCTTCGTCCAACCTGTGCTTCACCGCAACACTGCGTGTTGCACTCGCCAGACTGTTCCTTCGTCAATTTATTGGTTATCGGCCCGGATGAACCGTTTCCCAGGTTCTGTGTTTGAGCGAAGGGTAGCCGTCCTTGACGCTCGAAACTTCGCTCTCCTTTTGCCGAAGAGATCACGTTTCACGCGGGAAACTGGGGCTACCCGGGTAACGAAAGTGCGAACCGAAGCATCTGGTCGCGTGTTTAACGCGTGTAATTGGCCCGTTTCAGACTATTAGGTTAATTGAAGGGTCAAACACGGGAACGGGGTTAAGTGGTTGCGAAATAACCTTATGAATTAATTACAGTCGAGAGTGCGTAATGTATCGCCGGGTTCTCTGCCCGTCTGGTATCGTTTATGAAAATGAGTGGTGAGATTTTGTAAGGTAATACTTTTAATTGTACTAGTTATTACTTTGCAACGCATATCCGCGTTCACTGTACTCGCGAAATTAAGCATACATGCATGCATACATACGTATGTATGTACATAATATCGACAGGGTGGTCTCGCGGTTCGCGGCAGACTCTCAGGATTCAAGAGCATCCGTGGAGAGAGGCTCGAGATCTGGGTGTTACGGCCGAAGGGGCTTCTTGAGCAATTGCCTCCCGTAAATCAATAAGGGTTCTCGGGCTCGGGTTCGTTTCTTGGAAACGCCCTGTGCCGAAAGGGCCAAGTAATCGCGATGATTCGCGTCGAAGGGTGGCCAGTGCGTTAAGAAATAAATATTGTGCAAAGTTTACAATTCAAGCGGATATTCCCTTGAAAATTACAGAAATAATAAGGATTACTTTTGGTCTCCATCATTCTGTCATTTTTCAAAGGACGACAAAGTTTGGCGTGACACCCTGTAGGTATAGAGTTCGTTCTCTCTTTGCTGTTTAACGCAAAAGCCCCGTTCCAGTTTCCCATTACGATACACGCATCCAGCTCGACTCCTTTGTCGAAGACCGGCGTCACTCGCTTCCTCTATCGAAGCCCGTTTCTCACGTAACCAGCTTCGCCATCGAACTCTACATTGAAAACCTGTTCCGCCCTCAACTGCCTCGCCGCGTCTCGCGTCTCGCGTCTCGCACAGTGTCCCGTGTTACGTCGATTCGTTGGTCCCATTACCGCGACCGATCGTAGTTTCGGAAACCAAACATCCGTAAGGTATCGATGCCCGATAACCGTGCAATTCGACGAACATAACGCGATCCATTGAAACCACGATACCTAGAAACGGCAGTTGTCGTATGTCGCGCGAGTAATTAACTCGATTCTATCGCGATATCTTTGATATACCGAATAGTTACGTTGCAGCCTGATTCACATATATGTATACCCCTCGCGCAAGACTCGATAACGTTAACGGTATATTACTGTCCAGAGCTTTCGGGTGAATACATTACAATTATCTTTCCTGCGGTCTAATTTCCTAACTTCCGGTCCCTTTGATTTCTCTGTCCATTCCATCCATGCATGTACTCCTTCGCGATCAAACATTTCTTTTTCCTCGACAACGTTTCACCCAGAAACTTACGAAACATTCGCCCCTTTTGGAAACCACTCAATTTTTGCTCACTACGCTCTGTCATCACTGCTACCACCATCAGTCATGGATCACGAAGGCCCATAGTACAGTGACACCTGCAGGAATGATCTCTTTTTTGCAATGATTCTCAATTTATTATATATATATATATACATATATATATATATATATATATACATATATATATATATATATATATATATATATATATACAATATAATCGAGATTACTCTCGCGAGGGTACGATGTGTTTACGATGTACGATGTTACGCTGTTCCGAGGATTAGCAAACGGTTCTCTCGCCACGAATTAACCCAAACAGAATTAAATGATTTATTAGACTAACAATAAGAATAAGATGCGAACTTTGGAAAGTTTGCCTAGGCTACGGTTACATGCAATTCACTGTTTCGATTCACTTAATCGATTTCGCGATTATGACAGAGATAGGAGCGAAGAAGTGATTTGTGGCCATCGAAATGACTCGAGAAATTAACCGTACTCTGATGAAAGATACACCAATCCGGGGAGCACTGTGACTGATACAACATTTATAGCAGACGGATGACGGTAACGAAGAATTCACGCTCGTTTTGCGAAAAACGATTAATGGAATATTTGCATATTTTGTCTCTTTCAAAAAAAGAATAGAGTTAAAAGAGAAAGGCACTCGGCGAAATATCTATGATCAAACCTGTTTGCATGATATTCGCTCGGCGTGCTTGAACAGACGGAAGGAAAGATGAATTCTTCGTTCTCATCTCTGATCTCGAATGGTACTCTTTCGGCATAGGTACACAGCAAACAGTCGTTCCATTAGATTTTTACTTGCGAAGAATGCGTCGGTTCTGTAGAATAATTCACCGTGATTGAGAAAAGAGAAATGTGTCTGAATCGGAGAGCAGAGAAGAGGACGAAAATAATGGAAATAATGGAGACAACGATCGAGCTGTCGTCGGACAAGTTGGAGTAAACGGGGAAGGAATGCTCGTTCGACGAACAATGATGACGGACGGGTTGCGAGCGCGTTTGGGCGCACTTTCCTCGCGAAATCGTGCCTCATTAGTAATTTTGCAAACATCCGAGCTGCTCGACGGCCGCGTAGGCTCGAGTACTCGAGTCCCGACGCTTTCCAATTCTCTGAAACGCGGTCTAATCATCTCTGCCCTCTACGTCGAGCCGAGATTTAGCGAACCTCCGTTTTAATTGCTCATTAACGACTCTCGAGTCCATCCATCGTACACCGTCGAACTGAATGGAGTCGCTCGTGAACGTATTATCACCGAATGAGGCTCGCACGCGGTTCGATCAGAAACTTATCACGTTTGAGCTCTTTCCAAACGAATTGTGAAGAATTGCATGTCGTACCGTTAGAAGGTTCAATCGGATCTCAGCAACGGAATGGCACGCGCTTGTTTGTAACGGTGCATCGGCACACGAACAAGAAGCCTTTTTAGAGAGTCACTTTAGTCCCCTAGTCTAGCCTAGAGAGCCCGCTTTAATTAGACACGCGAATCACTACAGATATACACGGTCCTGGTTACACGTGACGTTCGAAGAATAGAGATTAATCGGAGGTATTATATGTATGTAATTCGAAAGAATTTATTCGAGTTCACACTCGCACGGCAAAATTATGGAACCATTTATTCACCGTGAAGTGTAACTTGAAATTTTCATTATCATTCCTGAAAAGGAACTATATAGTACGAAGCCGCTGTTGGAAGGATATCGCGTAATCTAGGAATCCAGGAGTGGCGTCAACGATTCGAAACGCTTAAACGGTTCCGTGACGTCGACTCGATACCTACGAGGCCAAGAAATGAAAGGGCTAATAATTCGGTCCGATCTCTACGAGTAATTTACATATTGTATTGTCGATGACCGGGAGCACGCCGTTCCGTGTGTACCTGTAGGAGCCTCCAGTACCGCATAAGTAGCGCCACACTCGACTCGACACGGCAAACTCACACAAGATAGAAACACCACACCTAGCACCGAGTTTCTAGACGAGAAACGAAGCTATCGACCCTCCGGTCGTCCGGCAAACCGCGAATCAAAGCGACCATCTCATTCTGCTTCAGGCCCGTGGGAGTCTGGGGGAAGATCGTCGGCTCTTTGTGCGCGATCGCTGGTGTGCTGACGATCGCACTGCCTGTCCCCGTGATCGTCTCCAACTTCAACTACTTCTATCATCGTGAGACTGACCAGGAAGAGATGCAGTCGCAGAACTTCAATCACGTGACCAGCTGCCCGTATCTCCCTGGCACTTTAGGTACGACCTCGACCCTTTCCCTCGGACAATGGTTCGAAGTCTCGGATTTGGTGGGCGGTTCTTGAATTGACATTGGATTCAAATTTACCTAATAATACGGAATTCGATCGATTCACGAATTGGTGTTATTGTGAATTAAATTCGACGAAAGAATATGTTTTTCCTGTGTTTTTGTATGAAAGTATTTACAGGCGTTCACGTTTCTTGCATAGCTTTACAGATTATTGAATTTCATTACAAAATTCTCTATGACCTCGCCGTCCTCGTTGCCTTCATTTGCAATAATTTGCAATAATTTGCAATAATTTGCAATAATTTGCAATAATTTGTAATATTGTACACGAGAGACACATCCGTGTAAATACTTTCTGTCTCTCCTATTCAAACAATTCCCATCGTACCTTAAAAGTACAAGGTATCGGTTAAGGAAAAACGAAACACGAACTCGAACGAAAGGGCAAAAGTTGAATGTTCGATAAATAACATTGACACGGGAATCAATCGCCAGGGAAAATTGGGAACGTCCGTTAGCATGTACACAAAGTTCCCCGCCTGCCAAGCCCATCCCCGGTGATAGTTGTCCTCGACGTTTGCCGTAAGTAGTACCCATTGTCAGAGGGCGAAGTTACGTTTTTGAATTGCCGATATGTACCGATATCGCGTGTCTACGACCTTGCCGACACATTGGTTTATCGATTCGCGGACCTTCAACGGTTAGTCGTTAAAATTGAAATGAGAGCTTGTTGAAACACAATCGAATTTCGGGCGAGCAAGCTCCTAGAGAACACACCGTGGCTGGCGTGTTTTTCGACAGTGCGCACAAACGGTGCGAACCACGTTATCCGAATTTCCACGAACATCGTGTCCGCCAACCCAATGGAATATTAATTTTCAAAATGCCTCACTGCGATGACGAGACGTGTCGAACTCTTGTTCTTTGTCTGCTTCGCAGGTCAACACTTAAAGAAGAGCTCGATGTCGGAGTCATCGTCGGACATAATGGAGCTGGAGGATGGCATACTGCTCACTCATCCCGAGATTTCGAAGAAGCCGAACTGCAACCCTCGCCATAATAACAATATTAATCCAGCCTGTATGAGCATCGAGACTGACGTCTGACTACTAGGTAAGCTGTACATCACAATAAGATCGATGTTATTCTAATTGTTTAGTACAAGCGAACTACACGTCACGAAATCAAATTGGTATCTTTGTCTTGTATTCGACAAATCTGTCGAGACGTGTATGTACAGGGGAATAAGTAATAAGAAATGAAAACCGTAAGAAAGTTGCATGTCCTATCGCCAGATGCAGAAAGCAAATCGTTTATCTGTAGTTATTAATTATATCGGTGTAAGAACCGCGGTATTAAATGGTACCCTTGTGATTGCAGTGAAGGAGACGATGGCAGCGTGGTGGCCAGTGCTGGAATGGTTGTCTAAGAACAGCTACAGCTCCCTACGGTGCCTGACGTAGGCCTCCTTCACACGTCGTCGTAGTCGTTCTAGCTGCGAGCGCTAGCGACAGCGCGTGTACGCGTGCGCGCTGGCTTTGGATCGTAGACGGCTGCGCAAGCGCAAGCGCGATCGCGGGCACGCGCACTCTGTCCATAGTCTGTCAATACGAGGGGTGCTTCCAAATCCATTATTAAACGTCAACGAGAGAGAAAGCGGGAGAACGAATAACGGCGAACAATTCAACGACCAAGGATCGGCTGACTAAATATGGGTGCCACGTAATTTCTTCCATCGGCGCGACGCGCGAGCCGACGCGACAACAAACCGACTGACCGTCGCCGGAAGGGTTCGAGAGCAGAGCTCCAGAGAAGATGAAAACGACGAGGGAACGTCGTGTGAACGACAACGTTAAGCGTAAGAAAAGAGAATAACGATAACACACAGAGGTGGCGATATAGCTTCGAGAGAAGGAAACCAGGAATAAAGGGACAGCCGCTTCGGAGGTGTTACGGTACACACGCACCCCACGTAGGGACCTACCTGCTAATAAGGGGATGGAGCGGGATCATTCCTCTCGCGCGTCCAATCCCCACACCACCGACTCCAGTGTTCACTACAAATGCTAACAAATAATAAAAAAAAAAGTAACAAATAAACGATTATAAACGATTATAAACGAAACGAAAGGGAAGAGAATTGTTGAATCGCAACGGCTTCGCGAGGAACACAAACGTATAAAAGAAGAAATAATAACGAATGAAAGTCGTCGAAATTCCCCTCACCGTAACGATGCGATTCGCGTAAGCCGGCAGAGAACACGCGATCGAGCGAAAAGGGGGTAAATCGGTCGGCGACGAAACCAGGGGAATCGTACCAGATAATACTAATTAATTATTATCGATGTAATTAATCGAGTACACGTAGGTGAAGGTACGCTAACAAAACTAAATAACAAAGGAAGATATTCGTTCTAATAATTATCAACAACACTGCGCGTAAACGGACGATGCCAAGATCGAGCAGAATAGAGAGAAAAACGAAGGCGATCGAGCAAAAGAGGTGGAGAAACGGTACGGTACGGTACGGAACGGAACGGAACGGAACGGAACGGAACGGAATGTAAATGGTGATGGTGCTCGCGGTGAGAAGACAGACTTTTGGAGACACCCGTAGGCGTTGCACGTGGATACAACTACGGGAACGAGTGTGTCTTGCAGCGGAGAGACTGTTCTTTTTTCACTGAGGACAAACGCTCGAAGTAAGCTGGCTCCGATGTATAATAATACAATATGTTGGTATCTATTTGAACGCGAGACACGATTGGAATGCAATTTGTTTCTCGGAACGCGACACCGTACCTCCAATCACATATACACGCATACACACGCAACACTTGTACACAGAGACAAACATTTACGAACCGACATTTGTGCAACACTTCGGAGAATAAGTGCGCTCTAAAAACGGCGTCGATCCTCGATCGTGCACAGTCTTAATGCTCCAGCGGGGACGCAGGCAGAACAAACAGGAAAGCTCGGTCGAAGATTTAAGGGGCATCGGTGCGTTCGATTTCAGAAACAGCAATATGCTGAAACAAATTTTCACCGAGTCAAGGCAAACAAAATATCGATGTTGCCTAAGATTTAGAACGAGCATGATTTCCTTTCGTGCACGATCGAGAAAAGATCGTACGAGCTCCGAGCTTCGGAACCGAAGGCTAATCTCGAGGTAAGAAGTTTCCTGTGATTTTTAAGATCACGGGAGGTCGGTGCGAGTAGCGCGGCAAGTTTGCGAGCAATCGAGAGGACGAAGCAAGGATCGGTGACCCGATTGGCCAGGGTGGAAAGTCGCGATCGATGGTCGGAAAGGTGTCTGCCGATGACGCGTACAACCGTGTTCAGGTTCCGCATGTTCCACAGGTTTACGGATCGCGACGGTCGCAGCGGTCTAGATGCTTGCTTGCTGTTCCATCGGATCAGCAGCGGAACGCGCGACTTCCGGTCCATTTGTTCGCGCGACCGATCAATCCGAATTCGAAACAGCAGAGGGAGTCGAGTAGTAGCGAAAGCAGTATCACGCAGAGATTCACATATAGCAAAGCTGTTTTGCGAGGAGCAAATTTTACAATAAGGCGAAGCAAAATTTGATTCGATTCAACTTGTGTTCAGGTTGTGTGTGTGTGTGTGTGTGTGTGTGTGTGTGTGTGTGTGTGTGTGTGTGTGTGTGTGTGTGTGTGTGTGTGTGTGTGTGCGCGCGTGTGTGTGTGTGTGCGTGCGTGAGGGGGAGAGAGAGAGTGAGAGAGAGAGAGGGGTGGGAGTAGGGGCGGTCGGAACAAAGATATTTATTATTGCCATGATTCGCGCGTTAAGCGGTAGACTTTTGTAAATTTTTTTCTCTTCCTCTCGCGAGACACTTCTTTCATTTTGGTCGCGAACGATCACGGCAACGTTGACCGCTCGAGAAGTAGACCCATTCTCGCGACCTTTCGACCGAGCGTCCCGTAGAATAAGCAAATTATTAATTATAGAATTTAATCGTACGTGCGTTAAATTTTTAACGAGACACGCGCCTCGGTGAACGTGTTCCCTCGACGTATGCCAACGCGAAACAGTATTTTAACGCATAACCTACGCATGTATTTTAAAAAAACACCAGAGTACTTTTAAAATAATGATAACGAGTGATCGCCGAAAAGGTCGAACGATCGAGAAATAGTAAAGATTGGACGTAACTCTTGCTTTCGATCTCGTGATTCTTTGCCTTGCTTCGAAGAACGCGCGGATTCGAGTGCAATTTTCATTTCGTTGTTGGTTCGCGAGATCGCGATCGATTACGGTGGGCTTACGAAAAAAAAACCAGAACGCAGGGGAAGGGACGACGTTCGGATGGATGGATGGATGGATGGATATTCCAGTCGCGTCTCGAGTTCGTTGAAAACGAATTGGCAGGCCAATCGATCCACGGATAAGGAACCACCGCGCTTTCTCTATCTCTTCGCCATCGTCTCGATGTTTCGCCTCTTTCCCGGTGGAGAAAGCGCATTACAAAATCGCCAAGACTGCCATTTCACCATTCTCAGTAAACAAAATACATATACATAAACAAAACTAAAGGAAAGAAGCAATGTCGCGTTAACAGCGTGTCCACGATTATTTCGAAATCATGGTCCGTGCTTGAACGCTTTTCCACTAGATCGATTTCGAGCGGACTCGGTTGCGCGCCGTGCAACGCGCCAAGCAACGCGCCGCCGATTCCTCGCACTATAGAGGAATTCCGACTTCCGTTGAACACCTCGAGAACCGTGACGATCGGTTGTCCGGAGTCTCGCCGATCCGCAATCCCGTTACGGACGAAATCAATACATTTTTCCGTGAATAACGATTCGACAGATTGACTTCCAGTCGATTTTCGAAGACGCGAGGCCCGATCGTCGCGATTCCTTGAGAACACAAAGCAGGAGCTTCGAAATGCTCTTTCGCGATTTTTTCCCTCCACCGGAAGCGGAAGCGCAAGGTCGCGTTGCACGCGCCAGTCCGCCGATCGAAACTGTCCGCTCACGAACACGAGCTCACGAACACGAGCGCGCGATAACGTTATTATCGAGAAATCGGAACGCGACACACACGCATCCGCATGGATAACCGACTACGATGAAGGAGAAAGTCGAACGTTTCAAGTAAAAACGATATACATTGCGGACATTTGCAAGAAAAACAAGCAAGAAATCTATGAATTAGTTATAAACGTAACACGCGATCTAGCCGAAGAAAACGATGAAACAAATAAGACGCAAGTAAACGAAAAAAAAGCGATTCCATTATTCAATTTATTAGGTCTTAGATGAGAGTTTTACCGAGTGATATCTAATCTACCTTTTATTAGACGAAACGAGCATGAGAAAGACGAAGCGATAGTTTGTTAGTGTGTCGAGTCAACAAGAAAGGAAGAAAGAGGATTGCAAATGACAGTGCGAATGAGTGGGAGAATAATTGCACACGTGTTTTTTTTAAGAGAAAATCCGAGCGAATGGGCAGAACGAGTGGAGGCGTGTGGACGACCGAGGGTGAACCAGATCGCGCGAGCCTTGGCATGCGAAAATGTACATAACGCGGATGTAAGGTGTAGCGAGTGTGGCGCGAGGAGAGCGAGACAGGTAACAAAACAATAATTATACCTACAGAGATTTATGTTATACGCCTTTATTACGAGTACTTGAACCTTTCGCCTCGCTACTTTAGTCAATGAAAGGAACAAAATTTTAATAAGCGCATCAAACTACCAGCCTAGCCATTTCCGAGAGGACAATTTAAAAGAAAAAACGCAAAACAATTTCGCAGAGGATAAATTTATTACTGTTAAAAATTAGTACTACTGTTAAAAGATCTATTAAACTTAACAACTACTACTGTTACTACAACTACTACAACTACCACTACTATTACTATTACCACGAATACTGCTACTGCTACTGCTACTGCTACTGCTACTGCTACTGCTACCGCTACTGATACTGCTACTGCTACTGCTACCGCTACTGCTACTGCTACAGCTACTACTATTACTATTACTATTACTATTATTATTACTATTACTATCACTAATACTATTACTATTACTATTACTGTTACTGTTACTGTTACTGTTACTGTTACTGTTACTGTT